CTCTTTCCTTGTCTCTTCTATTTATTGACCAACTATTCCCTTTCTCACTTAGCTACATGTTTACCTGATGCATAAGTTGTATTTTTGTTTTCTGGGGCAACAATTAGAAGTCTTTCCTGCACAGATATAAAGTGACTTCTTTGGGAGGTGTGCTGTGCTGTGTCCTTCCTGTGACCAACCCTCCCTAGGGCCTGAGTTGAGGTCAACACAGTCTTAACAACATACACTCTGGGTAATGTTTTGGATAGTGAGACTCTTTTGGATTAAACTAACAGTAACTCAACCAGAAAGAGGAATTTATTATGAAGATACGAGACTAGCTCATAGAACCTAAAGATGAGAAGGCAATTGGCCCCTAGGTACCATCTGAAACTTGAAGCTCAATTGCTAATAGGACCCTTTTTATGTCTCTGACCTTTACTTTACTCTACAGGTCTACTTTCTTCTTCTCTCTTCTTGCAGACTAGCATCTGCTTTTTCTCATTGTACAAAGAAGCAAGGGGGCCAACAGCTTCTGAGTTAAAAATCCCTGAGTCCAAATTTCTAGAGAAAGACTGCCTTGGCCCAAATCCCAGTACCTGAAGAAGGATTTTAATTGCTATCTTGGGCCAAGGGTCCACCCCTAGACCAATAAAATTTGGTCACATGTGGAATGATATTTTATTCTATTATGTTTCTAGGGTGATCATTTAGATGCAGGGTGGTAGGAAGGGGTCATTGTCTGCAGAAGATAAGCTAGATAGATAAAAGAGTAGAGTTCACTGTACTACGTATGGGCATAAAATGAATAGTTTACAATCCCTTTCCAATATGTTATCTCATGTAAGCCTCATTACAATCAGGTGACAGAGGCGAGACAGGCACTACTGGTTCACAATTTACACAGGAGGGCATTAACATGCTCTTAGAAACTAAGGGACTTATGAAGATTCACAGATAAGTACTAAATCCTTTCACTCTTCAACAAAACTCATCTTTCAGTATGTTCCTAAAATCCCACCACCTTCTCAAAGTTGATGAGTGGGAGAGCAACATTATCTTTTGCACTCCTATTAGTCTGGCTTCTCTAGAAAAAAGTGAAGTTCTAGGGAAGTATAGTTTCAGGGAAGCAGGAATGAGGGAAAAGGAGAGTAAGACAGAGAAAGAGGGAGAGGAAATATCAGGGGGTGAGTTACTGAGGTGGTCACAACTTTGAAATAAGCTGATTGGTTTGTATCACGGGATATATCCAGCAAAGCTGTTTGAAGCTACTGTGTATGTTCAGGGGGGGAGGGGGGGAATTCATCCATCCATTGGCTTTGCCCATGATCATCGTTCAGGCCACAGGTTATTAACTCACCAAGACTTACTGTTATCCATGCTTGGGGACACAGAAGGAGCTGCTGGACATCACAGAAGCCCTGATAGGAGGCAAAGTAGCATCAGGTCATATAGGAGGGTATGATGTTGAGAAACTAGGGATAGTCACAGAGGGGGTTTTGGCTGGCCAAGAGGTCTAAACTCCACCATGACATGTCCTTCTGCCACTAAGTTTGTGAGAGGCCTTAACAAACCTCTTTTCTATAGCTTACAAGAATGCATTTGGTGTCAAGGTATCTTCCAGAGGGCTATCAGTAACACTGAGCAGCTGGCCACATGATCTGGAATGGGAACGGTGACATTTACTCCCTGATGAAGACTCACTTCAATGACAAGTCCCCTCCCCCACCCCAGAATTGACCAATATTTTTTATACCCACACTATTTTCATGTGAGTCTAACATGAATGTTTTGACATTTAATGCAAATATCCAGGTTTTTTCTCCCCTAGAGAAGATTTTTTTTTTGAAGTTGGAGTAAAGCTGATTTATTAATTGAATAGCTTATTGAGTACCTACTATGTACCAGGCAACTTTTTAAGTGCTAGGGATAGAATAGTGGGTAAAATAGACACAAATCTTTAACTTTTTGAAGCTTACATTTTAGTGTGTATGTATAGCCAATAAAGAAATAAATAAAACATACATCATGTTGATGGCAATAAATACTTTGGAAGGAAACAAAGCAGGATAAGAAGAGCAGGGGTGAGGAGTGAGGGTTTCGATCAACTGGATGGCAAGGGAAGGCTCCACTAAGAGAGTGGCATTAAGAAAGAGCAGACATGGATATTTGGGGGAAACGAGTTCCAGGGCCAGAGAAAGCAAGTACAAAGCCTCTAAGGCATAGCTGGTGCATCCCAGGGAGGGCAGGAAGGTCACTGTGACCAAGGCAGAGTAAGGAAGAGTAGAGAGTATGAGGTTAGAGAGTTAATGTGGAGCTAAATACCTTAGGCCATTGTAATGACTTTGACTTCTACATGGGGAGGGTTGTGGATAAAGCAGGGTTTTAAGCATGGGCGTGATCTGCCATATTTCACTCTGGCTGAGAATGGTCTATACAGGCATGAAGGTTGAAACTGGGGTTAGGAGGTTTACTGGAGTAATGCGGATGAGAACTAAGATGGTAGTAGAAGAGGTGGTGAGAGAGGGTGTGATTATGGTTTAAAGTCAGAGCTGACAGGATTTGTGATTTATTAGGAAGGAGGTATGAGAGAGAGAAGTGTAAAAAATTACTCCACGTTTTTGGGCTGAACCAAGACTACAGGAGGAAGAGATTTTAGGGAGAAGATTAGTAGTTTAGACATGCAATGGCTTTTAGACATCCAAGCGGAGTTGCTGAATTGACAACAAGTGGATTTAGGAGTCTGAAGTTCAGGGAAAGATTCATGGGTAGAGAAAAAAAAATGTGGGAGCTATTAGTATGACATTGAAAGCCATACAGGTGTCTTTAAAAGCCATGAGACTGGATAAGATCAGCAAGTGAATGAGTCCAGATAGAAAAGTGAAGAGGACGACAGACCGACTTGTAGGCCATTCCAACTTTTAGGGGTTGGGAAAGAGAGGAGTAACCAGAATGGGGACCGAGAAGAAGTGGCCATGAGGGAAGAGGAAAACCAGAAGAGTATGATTTCTGCAAGCCAAGAATGTTTCAAGAGGCAGGAAGTGAGCAACTGAGCCAAGCGCTACTGACAGAGGTGTTGAGAACACTATGGATTGAATATTTGTGTCCTTCCACCATGCACGTGTTGAAATCCTGCCCCCCAATGGGATGGTATTTGGAGAAGGAGCCTTTAGGAACTAATTAGCTCATGAGGGTAGTGCTTTCATGAATGGGATTCATGCCCTTATTAGAAGATAGAAGAGAGCTTGCTTCCTCTCTCTGCTCCCTCATGTGAGGATACAAGAAGACAGCCATCTGCAAACCAGGAGGAGGACCCTTGCCAGACAGTGGATCTGCCCACACCCTTGATCTTGGACTTCCCAGCCTCCAGAAGTGTGAGAAATAAATTTCTGATGTTTAAGCCAGCCTGTCTAAACAGTTGGAATTGACTAAGACAAGAATTGACCTTTGTGTTTAGCAGCATGGATATCGTTGGTGACCTTGAGCAGTTTCAGTGATGCAGAGGAGAAAATGTCCAAATGGAAGTTCAAAAGAGAACTTTTGAACTTTTTTGAGGGGGGAGAGAAATTGGAAGCAACAGTATGGGCCATTCTTCAGAGTTTTGCTTTAAAGGCAAGGGGTGAAAAGAAGGTGGTAATTGGAGGGGGAGGAAAGGTAACAAAACTCTGTGTGTGTGTTCATATGCCCACTGGAAAGCTCTAGCAGCATTTCCTGGCAGAACGAGGCAGAAAATGAATGATTGTGAGGAAAATGAATAAAACCTCCCTTGGAACCAGGTCTATATGGGCCACTGAACGAATCCACACGTGGTTCCTGTATCGATGGGGAAATGTATTGAGACTGAAGGTGCCTGGGTCAGGCCTCAGAGACCTAATGCCTTAAAGGTTTCCGATTCAAGAGGCAGAAATAATGAGCGTGTCAAGTAGCACAACGGAGGTTCTTTCATGACCTACGAAGTCAAAATACGGTTTAGCAGCATTTCAGGGAGGCTAGTTGAGAAGGGTGGTTTTACAGAAGGTTGCAGTTGCTGTCATCACCACCACCACCACCACCACCATCATCAAATAGCAATTAAGTGACTAATTTCTTGTGCCACCTCATAAATCAAAATAGAGGGCCTTGTTTCCTAGGGGAACTGTTTTGATGAGAAGCAGTGGGAGTATAACGAGGCCGGAAGGTGTAAGATGGGGGCAAGACAGGCGTGGGGCAGAGGCACAAGGCTCTTGCCAAACCATCCTGCCCCAGTTCCTGATTTTCACCCTGCCTCTCCAAGCGCTGGGGTGGATGCTCCTTTCCCTCCTACTTCTTCCTCCTTTGCTCTTTGCGCCCCCTACTTCTCCTTTTGCTGCCCTCTCTCTGCAGGGCTGTTTCTGAAGCTCAGCCTGCGCCTCTACCTGCCTCCCCACCGCCTCCGGGCGCACGGGAAGCGGACGAGCCCCGAAGCGCCAGTGGGGCCGGGGCCGGCGTTCTGAGCATGTGCGAGCAGGCCGGGGGGCTGGGGCGGATTCGCGGGGCCGGCCCCGGCT